ATAACTTTAATTTCCCCTCCATTCTTCCCCATCTCATAGACTCTCCACTGATCTAAGGATGTTAATGGGCGGATAATTAGGTAATGATGTAGTTGATACAATTTGAATCCACTACAGGTTGGTTAAGGGAAGGTGCTGCCCCTGCTGCAGCTCTGCATTTAGATGTGGTTAAGAGCTGGGTGTGCAGGTAGCCCGGCTCCTCCTACCTTTAAACTGCAAAGCTGCTGTGGGGTCGCTACTGGACCTGGTGTGAGTCGAGACTGAGCTGGGCTTGCTCACTCCCAGCTTGGACAGGCTGCTGCTGGAGCAGCCTCCCCTGGATCCTTGCCCCTCCCCTCACACATTGCTGCACCGCAGAGATGGTGCTGGGAGGGGGGCTGGCTTATAAGACAGCTCCCCCCAGCACTGGCTCTTCCTCCCCCAAGGGAGGGGGAGTGAGTAATTGATTCGACTAATTGACTTTTTTACATCCCTACTCTGATTTCCCACTGTAAGGCCCTCAGTTGTAGCAGATGGGATTCTGAGCAGAGGTACAAGGCCAGGATATTTTGATAGCTGATAGTCAGGTGCTGGGCTTAGAATATCCCTTGCAGAAGTACTGGGAGTGGAGCTCAGTTGTAAGCCTCCTGAAAGGAGTCCAGAGTTTCAGGAGAGTGAAATGCAGGTTGAAAGTGGGGGTGGGGTAAGAGACGGTCCTGACCAGTATCCAAGCCCCCAGAAGCAAGTGCTGACCCCTTCTCCCTGTCCCGAGCTGCTTCCAGGCTTTGTGATTCTTCCCCTTCTGGAAGTGGAACAGCTGAAGAATTCACCTTGTGAAATCGGAAAGCCAAGCTACTATTACTGTTCTCTCCCTACTGCAAATGAGTTCCTGGGGAGAGGAATAAAGAACACTAACCTTCCTCTCCTGACCCCGCCCCTAGTGTAACTAAATGTGTTGGGGGTGGAAAGGTAGCTATTCCCCTAGATTTCTTACTAGGGAAATCCTTACTGTTGGTCTTACGGTGACGTTGCCCTACACAACTCAGATCTTGCCATGGAAGCCTGCAGTGATGCGGCTGGTGCAACAGGGGGTTGGAAGGCCAGCATAAAGAATTGGGGATCTCTGGTAATGCTGGATCTTGGAGAGGGGATGATCCGATGAGTGACCTGTGTTGCTTTGAGAAACTTCTCCCTTTTCTGGAATCTTAGTCAGTTGCCTTGACTGTTGTTTTTTCCAAGCAATTGGTTGACTAATCTTTTGCCTATTGGTGGATAGCACCTCCTGAGCCAAGCAAGTAATGCTGCCTCTGCCTTCTGGTTGGGCCAGTTCAACTGCATTGTTGCTTGATAATTTAGCTTAGATCATGCTGCTCACAGGGGACTAGCTGAATTTTGAGCTCCTGCATCCTTCAAAAGTCCTTTGCCCTTCATGTCTGGGTTCATGGATGCTGCCTTGACTTGCTATAAGCACCAGGCTTTGCTTATAAGGGGGTGGAGAACCTTTTTTGGTCACGGGGTCACTGACCCACAGAAAAACCACTTTGGGGCCACACACAAGTGAAACTAAAGCAAACCCCCCCCAAAACTCTCCCTCGTGGTCCCTGACTGAGGAGAGAGACATTCCCCTTGTATACCAGAGCCAAGAGGGGCCTAGGCTAGTAGATTTTGTGTGTTGTCACCCTGTGGTGGGTTGTGGGGGCTGGAACCCTGAGACTCGGGGCCAGATCCAGGCAAGCGAAGGGCTCATCTGGCCCCTGGGCCTGAGGTTCACCACCCCTGGCTTGTAACAAGGCCTCCCTCTTACTTACAGATAGCCCTGCAGTCCAGGTGACACTTGTATAGGGAGACTGAGTCTCATGATTGACCAGTTCTGTGGCATGCCAGTATCTTCCCTTGCCGTGGAGTGCGGTGGATCAACTTTAAATAAGGCAAGGAACATAAAGAAAGAGTGGGCATTAAATAAGGCCAACTAGGGCTTGACACAATCCTTATTAGATCTTGGGATGGCAGAGGAGACAGTAATAGCGGGAACTGGTATGTAACACTTACAGCCAACTACAGGGTACCATGGGTCTTTTGCAAATAGTATTTTTACGTTTTGAGGAAGGGGTACTCAACACGCAGCCTGTTTGTTTGCGATCCACGTGTGGGAGCCAAACCAAAAAAGTAGTCAATACAATGGTCTTCTGTTGATATACCTTTCACTAGTTAAATTCCTGGACTGTCATTGCTCATTGAAAGTGCTGTCATGGGTGGAAATCGGGTACATATTGCATTTTATTAATATCAGCAGAGCTGACTTAAATGGGACCTGTGTTGTGTAGTCTTGCCTTAATCCTTGTATTCATGCCTGTCAGTGTGAAAAGCTATTTGCATATATATTTGCATGTGTACGTAACCACACTTAAGTTGCGGCCCTCGGTGTGTGCTGTGAGTATCATTGTGGCCCCAGGCTTCCAAAGTTGAGTAGCCCTGTTTTGAGGCATATTTTATCACTTTCATACTCACTCATTACTTATCTGCATATAATCACCAATGTTTCAAATAAGGATGTAAGTGACTAGTCTACTATCCGAGAAGCATAAGCTTATTGGATAGTAGACTAGTGATGCGACTAGTCACTTCCCCCCCGTTGCTGCCTCTATTGAAAAGAGATGGCGGGGGAACAGGAGCCAATGCTGGGAGAAGCTGGCTTAAAAGCCAGTTTTCCTCAGCACTGTCTCTGTGGGGGCAGGAGAGGTAGAGGCACAGTGGGAAATGGCGTGAGCGGAGACAGAAGCAGTCTCTACTCTCACAGGTTCTGAGAGTCTGCTTTTGAAATGTACAAGAGCCCCAGCAGAGCTCTTGTATATTTCAAAAGCAGAAGCCCCTATGGAGCCAGGGCCAGCGGGGGATTCCCCACTGGCTCTGCACTCACTGTGGGGCTTCCTTTTGAAATGTGCAAGAGCGCTGCTGGGGCTTTTGTACATTTCAAAGGTTCAGGCACGTTAGGGAGTGCGGGGCCAGTCCCCTGCTGGCCCCGGACTCCCTGCAGGGCTTCAGCTTTTGAACTGTAGCAAGAGTTTGGCAGGGCTCCTGCTACAGTTCAGAGGGTGTCTGGGGGAGACCCCCTTACAGATCAATTGAATAGTCGATGGAAATCTCATTGACTATTTGATTAATCTGAATTTAACATCCTTGGTTTCAAATGTTGTAAGCAAAAAATAGATAGGGGTCTCTAAAGTACACAGTGGCAAAGAGGGTGGCTTGTGCCTGCTGCTTGACGCTGACATATACCCAGTACCAATTTTAAAGTTTCTGTAGAAGTGGTTAATGTTATCTGCATCTGCACTGGACTTGTGCCTGTTCAAACATTGTTTGTATGTGAACAGTCATTCTCAAGTGGATTGAATGGTTTGCTCAATGTGAACCAAGCAAAGCACCTGTAAAGCAACTCTGGGAATTGGCTGGTCCACCCAAAAGCTGTAGTTGCTACAGCAGAAGATGTTAGAGCATCAATAGCTTTCTAGCCAAGATTGTGATGACTTGGCCTGCTTTGAAGAGCACATAGGATAAGAGCTCATTCTGAAAACTCAGCCTGTAACTACTGGAGCCGAACCCTATGTTTCTGGGGTTCTTCCCATGTGTGTTTGCCAGTCTGACAGCCATTAGAAGCTGCATGTGTGGATATGGGGTGCATTTGCATCAGTTGAAGGGGGTGGATGTTTTACTGTGGCAAGTGTCCAGTGTATATGAGGTCTGGGTGTGAGCTGATCACGTTACAAACTCTGTAAAAAGTCAGGTTAGGGGAATTACCATGCACCCTACTGTGAGTTGAACCACCCCTCCTGGCTGGGCCTAGTGCATAAGCTAGGTGAGTATGACCTATGAGGAGGGCTCGGAGATGCTACTTTGAAACTCTTTCCAGTATCTTAGGGTGGAAATCCCGGTTAACGGGGAATGGGACCCAAGGGGGATTAGTAACTAGATAAAATCTTGTTTCAAACCTGGCTGAACTAGGGATGTTAAATTGTGTTTAATCAACTAAGCGACTAGTTAATGAATTTTCCATTAATCGGTTGATAAGGGGGGGAACGGCAGAGCCACAGTGGGGCTAGCGCCCAGCCCCGGGAGTTAACCCTGCTGTGGCTCTGCCTTTTAAATGCATTGAGACACCAGGCTCTTAATACACTTAAAAGGCTGAAGCGCAGCGGTGGGGGACCAGGCTGATTCCCAGCTCACACCCAGTCTCTTGCTACGTCTCTGCCTACCTTGCCCCCCGCGGAGTCCGTGCTGGGGGTGGGGGAATGGCTTTAAGACTGCTTCCCCCAGCACTGGTTCCTGCTCTCCCTCCCCTCCCCCCCACAAGGCAGCAAAAAGGGGGGGGGGGAGAAGCAACTAGTCGAGTCACTACTTGACTATCTGATATACTTATCAGATAGTTGACTAGTTGCTTACATCCCTAGGTTGAAAATGACCGGTGCTTTATAGGAAATGAGTTCTCAGTTAAGCTCTGTTAACAAGGGGATGGAAACATTCATAACTCCAAAGCCATGAATCAGCTGGACTGTGGAGAGTGAACCTTTCTAGAGATCCCACTAGGGATGTGAATGGTTAACCAGTTCATTGGTGGGTGCTCTGGACTGTTAGATGCCAGTTAGCCAATTAAACAGGATTTTACGTCCCTAGATCCCACTGTATCTTGGTGACACGGTGTCGTGGCAGTGACTTACTACGGCCTGCCTTTTAAACTACTGATAGGACTCTGGTATATGGGGAATGCCCGTCTGGCACCTCGTCCCCACATTAAGAAAAACTTGATTTATCAATAGTGGTGTACCGGCTTACCCCCTTAATAGGGTTGGCTGGAGGGATTTATTTGGTGTAGGTGCCTTAAAGGTGTATGGTGCTTTGATCTTAAATTGGATCTATCCAGGGGCTTGATCTAATGGGTTAGTTCGTTAGGTTAATGCAAAGTGATCTTAGAGCTGAGAGATGGCTGTACTTCTGTGATGATGATGGCTCCTTGTCAGATCCTGAGTGTTTCTCCTTCCTCCTCTAGGTGAAGGAGCTGGTGCTGGATAACTGCCGCTCACTTGATGGGAAGATCGTTGGACTCTCCTCGGACTTTGAAAACCTGGAGTTCCTCAGTATGATCAATGTCAACCTGCTGTCTGTCTCCAACCTCCCCAAGCTCAATAAACTCCGCAAGGTAAACTGAGAGCTTGGGGCCAGATGGCTGAGAGTCTTCTGGCAAACTGCGTGGGGTGGTCTGCATTCGAACAGAGAGTGTGTCGTTCCCTCCCCCCCCATCCGCTTGTAGGGATGGAGACTCCACTACTTCCCTAGGTAACCCATTCCAGTGCTTCACCACCCTCCTAGGGAAATAGTATTTCCTAATATCCAACCTGGACCTCTTCCACCACAACTTGAGCCCATTGCTCCTTGTTCTGCCATCTGTCACTACTGAGAACAGCCTCTCTCCGTCCTCTTTGGAACCTCCCTTCAGGAAGTTGAAGGCTGCTATCAAATCCCCCCTCACTCTTCGCTTCTGCAGACTAAACAGACCCAAGTCCCTCAGCCTCTCCTCATAAGTCATACCCCCTAATCATTTTGGTTGCCCTCCGCTGGACCCTCTCCAATGCGTCCACATCCTTTTTGTAGTGGGGGGCCCAGAACTGGACACACTACTCCAGATGCGGCCTCACCAAAACCGAATGGGAATGGTGTTCCCCTTTGTCAAGTGCCAAGGCCCTCTAAAGCAGTGCCTCTGACCTGTTCCTCCTGGCAGCTGGAGCTGAGTGATAACCGCATCTCCGGGGGCCTGGAAGTTCTAGCAGAGAGGACCCCTAACCTGACCCACTTGAATCTAAGCGGCAACAAGATCAAGGACATCAACACCCTGGAGCCCCTGGTGAGTGAGAGGCCAAGGGCAGGGCCCTAACCCATCAATGCGGTTTCCTTTGGGGCTGTAGTATTTCGTGCCCACCTGGGAAAGGGCTGCTAAGGGGTTGGACTCAGTTTGAGGTAGGTGGCACCTGGGTGTGTCATGGTAGTGACTTGCATGGCCCCCATCCAAGGACACGCTCCTGCTGTGGGACGTGAGCATGTCACCCGTGGTGCTGTGAGTGCAGATTGCCACTGACCTGCCCATGGCAGGTGCAAGGTGCCCTTTCTTTCTAAGGTAGGATCAAATCGCCCTGGAAGAGGGGTCTTTATCTTGTCATCCCACCTCACTAGGTCTGGCCTGGGGAGTGGACTGGCCAATGAGCTAGGCTGGGTGGTCTTCTCTCCCCCTCAGACAAGCTTTACAGTATAAAGGGAAATGCCTCCCCTTAGGGAGAGGTGTGGCTGCAACAACAGCACTTCCCAGTGCTGAATGGCCGAGGCGTACCGCCTCCCTGCGTGCAACGCAACTCTCCGGAATCCAGTGTGCTCTGTGGTGGCTGCTTACGTGGTCTCGGGGCAGGGAAGTGTGGCGTCTGAGTCAGGCAGTCTCTAAGACGCTTAGGTAGCCAGGTCTCTACTCCCTGTCGTAGGGCGATGGGCGCACAGACTCTGGGCCTGGCTTTCTGCGTTGCTGTACGCTGTTTGTTATAGGAGTGGAAATAGGGGGTGAAGTTGTAGAGAGTTGTGCCTCCAGGCTTTAATGTTGTCCTGGAGCTAGAGTCTGTTAACTGCCTTGTGTCAAAATGAGGGGGCATGTTACACAAAATAGCGTGCATGAGATACTTGCTTCACTCTAGGTCACGTAGTAACCCACCTGCTTCAGAGGCATCCTAATGTCTCCCTCATCCCTCTGCCCATAGCGAGTTGACTGGAACTGTCTGCTAGTGGCCTAATGACTTAATCTTTGCAGAAGAAACTACCAAATCTGCATAGCCTGGACCTCTTCAACTGCGAGGTGACAATGCTGATCAACTACCGGGAAAGCATGTTTGCCCTTCTGCCCCAGCTCACCTACCTGGATGGGTTTGATGCCGATGACCAGGAAGCCCCTGACTCAGATCCTGAAGCAGATGGTGATGGGTTGGATGATGAGTATGATGAGAACGGAGAAGGTAAAGGGGGCTTGGTATGGCTTTCTGGAATTGCCTCCCACATATTTCACTAGCCATTCCCTACAGACCACCTTGGTCTTGGGGTGAACTCATCACAAAAGTAAGATGAGACTTTGGTAATTCCATACTCTCCCCCTTCTTCCCCCGGCATGACATGGAAAACCAAGCTCTGCTTAATCCGGGGGGCTTGTCAGTTGACACATCTCACAGGCATAGGTACCAGTGGGGCTCTTCTGGGTTAGTTGTGTTTCCTGGCTGCTGTCGATGGCGTATTGGGCTTTGAACACGTCGGAGGCTAAAGGGGTGGGGGTGGGGAGTGTCACTGATCCGATACAAGCTGTGCTGGGTAGAGAACCCACTCACCTCCCTCTGTTGTGGTAGAAGGTGAGGAAGATGATGATGATGAGGAAGATGAGTTGGATGAGGAAGTCATTGATGACGAAGAAGAGGATGAAGATGATCTGGAAGGCGAAGAGGAGGAGGATGGAGTAGATGATGAGGTGAGGCTGTTCTTGTTGGCTTGATTCCCCCCCCCCCCCCTCGACTGATAAAAATCGGTCCTCCTGAGAACCCTTGTAATCTGGTTGGTATGCTGTGTCCTGGCTTGAGGCTAGTCTCATTCAAGAGCTTCCTAGGTAGACATCTTCCTAGGTAGAGCTTCCTAGGTAGAAGTGATACCTGGATTCTTAGTGGGTAGCTGGAGATGATATGAAGGGGGAAGATCTTGTTGTTTTTCCAGGAGGCATCACAATTTCTTTGTGCCCACAAGTTGCGGTCCCTGTGGCAGAAAGGAAGGGATGGGGAAAGGGAAGCAGGCATCCAGTTGCAAGGAGGGGTGTTAACAGTGTGCTGCCAGAGGGCAGTGTCCTCCTGAAGTCAGACTTGAAAAGACCGCGAATGGTGACTGAAGTGAGAGAATAAATCAATCTCTCGTCACTGGGTCTTGGTCCTTGTACAAACATGCTTATTTTTTTAATTCAAGGAGGAAGAGGATGAGGAGGATGAAGAGGACGACGAAGGTGATGAAGGTAAGTCAAGCTAATTCTCCTAATTAAGATGCAGTATTCACGAAGATCGCATTAACCATCTACAGTTCTGGTGCGATCAGTCGGTCTCATTCTGAGGGCCGAGCAGTAGAACGGTGCACGCCTGCCTTATGGCAAGAAAGCCTCTAGTCACCACTGAACCAGGGCACTGTCCAAGAGCTGAATATCCGAGTACTGAGGGAGGGAATCCAAGCACAGGAATTAGGCAATTCAAAGCTTAGGGCTTGGCTACTCCCTGCGTCCTATGTGTTGCATGACATGCTGTGTTCTTGTAGTAAATGTCCTTAACTGTCCAGCTATCAGGTAAGGAAAGTCAGAACACTCTCATGTTGCCTTTTTTGCATTTGCATGTTTGTTTTTAACATGACCAAGCTCATTGTTTGACGACACCATTGAATGAGGGTGGTGAGATCCCAGAGCATCCAAGTATGCCACCATCTCAACACATTTAAACCAATCAGTATTCATAGGCTGTCAGTTGCCTGAGGGGGTAAATTGGCAAAATGACCCAATTCTGTGTAATTTAGCGTAATACTCTGGAGGGGAGAGCTTCTGTGGATGCTCTGCTGTGTGTTAGTGTTTTTATAAAGAAGTGCTCGTCCTAGACTCTGTACTTGCTTCTAGACTTCTAGGCTTTAGTGCAACAAAAGACTAGACATCTCATTTCTGACTTGGAGGTAAAATCCTTGGATAGTTGAAGGCTGGCTCTGGATGTGCTTTATGTATAGCTATTTGTAGAGGTGTCTATAGGAAAATGGAGGTTGGCACCCAACTTGAATGATAAATCCTGAATAAGCTGCTTGGCTAAGACTCACCAAAGTGAGTAGTGATTTTAGGTGCCTCTGTTCTTGGGTGTCCAGCTTCACACCGTGAAAAGGGGAAGTGAGTGTTCAAGTGTTCACGGTATCTGAAATTTGGACCTGTAAAAGTATCTCGAGCACCAAAAATCTTACCTCAGGTTTTTGCTTGGGCACCATGTAAAATGGAACAGAGGGGTGGGACTCCATCCAGCTGCTGGCGTGGTTCTAGTTCATACTTGTTCACCTGCGAGGTGTGTAGCTTAAATAGCCTGTGAAGAATGAGAGCAAATGCTGTTCTGCAAGAATTTAACTCTTGCTTTCTCCCTGCAGACCTTCCCCAGGGAGAGAAGAGAAAACGAGAGCTAGAGGATGAGGGAGAGGAAGATCCAGAAGATGAAGAGGATGAGGATGACGACTGATAATCCTAGCGAGCCAATCAGTTTTACGGACTATGACTGTGCTTGTCCCAACCTCCCCGTTGTGCCCGCGTGAGACTGTAAATCCCATCTCCCAGCCCCCCTCTTTTGTATGGCTGCAGTGTCCACAATATATTTTTTTAAGATTTAGAATACAGTAGGCATTCAGGGGAATCTTTCCATACAAGACTCACTTTCTCACAAGTATTTCATGACCAAAGGCTTTCTCCGTTCTGTGGTTTGTGCAGCATTTTGCAAAATGTTCCTCACCTAGAGCATCTCTCAGATCTGAGCTCAGCCTTGCCCTGTGGCACCGAGAGCACCAGCAACGCTTTGCCTTCCACATACCCACAAGAGGCAAACCTCACCACCCCAGCATGCATTTTCCTCAGCCCTGCCTTTGAAGACACAGCGAGCACTCTGAGCAGTGGATGCAAACTCTGCTCATGTAAGTGGACTCTGAAATCAAGCAGCCTCCCAGGGTGAAGCGAAATAACCATAGCGGTATGAAGATGCTTTAGCGATCGTGAGGAGGGCAAAAGGGTTTGGATCTGAGAGAAAATGCTCTTAGCTTCATTTCAGACCTGTGAGGAGGAGCTATGCAGTCCTCCTGCCTCTTGTTTTCCTAGTTTTTGTAAACTGGAAATTTTTTTACCCATTAGCAACTTCTTTATAGCTTTGCTTCTTGGATATTGGCCAAGTCATTCTGGTGGGCACTTGCCATAAGGAGGCTTTCTCCACCCCAATCAGCCTTCAAGGAAGGGTAGGTAACATTAGGCAAAGGGCTACTGCACTGCTGCCAAACCGCACGTTTCACTGTACAGAGCACTCGAACCATTATCACTGTGATACACCTAACTTGGCGTCCCCGGGAGACCGGTTAGCCTAAATATTCTCAGGGTCCTTCTGCTAGCCAGTAACTGCTCTCAGCAGTGGCCTGGATTGCTAGACTGGCACATGTACCCCTCCCTCCCCTTTGCAGAGTGGTAAGTCTCGCTCGCTCACATTTATGCACTGTGTGCTGTGACAGCCGCTGCCTCTCCCCCTTTGCCCCCAGCCCATAGGAGTGGAGCTGCAGCTGCTTTGACTGCTGTGAGGCCTTTTTTAGAACAGGAAGGGGAGGGAATCCTTCCACATGCAACATGGGGTTTCTGATCTGTGTTCCCATGGCATCAGGGGCATGAACCAACCCTTCAGTATTGTGTGCCTAGTGATTTCTGCTCGCATGGGTGGGAGAGAGCATCTACCTTTTTAACCAGGTTTGTGGGGGTGTGTTCCCTTGGGCTTTGTACTAGTGCATATGCATTAGCACCTAACAGGGTATCCCTTAGCCACTGCAGGCAAATATGTAAGCACCCAGGAGTTGTATGTATTCCTCTTGCATCTAGAGGAGAGCTCACGCCCTTCCTATGAAACGCCATTCTAGCAAAGGAGCATTGCGTACTGCAGCACACCTGCATTTCTAGCCCTGCCTTTGTCTCTTGCATTGTACAGTAGCTATAAACAGACTGAACTTCTACAAAATGCAAACTGAGTAACTTATAAATGCTAAAGGAATTGAAATTCAGAGCAGCAGTTGCTATTTTTAACGTCTTCCCTGCATTTTTTCAGCAGTTTGTATGGATTTTATTAGCCTAGTAACTGTCAGGTTTGATTGGTCTGATTAGTCCCAGAAATAAGGATCTTCACCCCTTTTGTATCTTTTTTGTTACAAAATTTGGATAAAACTTTTAATAAAGACTTCAGTTTTTAAAAACCTCTTGTTATGGGTGGTGCCTTCACTGCTCCTTTGGAAGCTTTACCTTCTTCAGAGACATCAGCAGTGGGGGTGTAACACGGGGAGCATATCGTCCACTCCAGGACTCCTCAATCTAGAAGCAGTTTATAGCCAGTTACTCTCGTGAACTGCCAGGATCTCTCTTCCAGGAACTCAACGCTACATTGTCTCTGGCTACTGCTCCTTCATGATGTATAAAGACCCACCTCAAGCTTAGAAAGATTCTGTTTTAGTCTTTAAATGACAAGAATGTAGAGCCTTCATTTAGCTCTTCGCTAGAATGGAAGTCTTACTGTAGCGCATGCCCTCCAGATTTTCCACCCTTAACTCCAGAGGGCGGATGTCCTTGTGCCCTTTCAGTTCCATGGGAAGAAGCTGACTTCTGGGTGTGTAGAAGAGCTCAGGCTTTGGTGGGGAGGCAGAAGAAATTCCAGATTCTAACTGCTCAGTCTTTCCAGTCCTGTATGATTGGCTTCTCTGTAATGCTTGTGTGTGCCCATAGGACACTTCTGCGGGAGTGTTCCCCATAGCCAGGCAGGGCTGTTCTAGTATATGGGGTTGTGCTTTGTTGGCTTTGAACCGAACCCCCTTGTAAACAAAGGGAAGCTGCATCCCAACAGTGGCTGAAACTTTGTCCGGGGTCTGGAAGGGCCCCCAAAAGGTGCATGCTGGGCATTGGGGGAATGCATGGCTGCTACAGCAAGTCTGCAAGATGCAGGACCAGCAACGCTGCCTCTGAAGGACAGAAGTGCTCGCACTTACAACGCCTTGAGCAAGTTGGGAGCCAGGAAGGATGGGCGGGCAGGCAGCCTAGACTGGCTCCTGTGCAGGCTTGGGAGAAAAGCACCCCCTGCCTCGGCCCACGGTCCCTGCAAAGGGAATAGAAGGGGTGGTCTGTGGCAGACGTGGCCCTCTGCTGTGGAGCCACAAGCTGGTTTCCTGTCCCGCCTCTAAGCTGCTTGCTGGCCAGGCACCTGCTTTCTTCGTCCCTGGGGTGGGTGACTAGGAGGGCCTGGTCCTTTGCTGGGCTGTGTGCAGATCCAGCGGGCGGTGACTCTTCTGCTTCCTGACAGCCTGGTCTTTGGGGGGAGGGGACTATGCTTTCCACTTGCCTTCCAGGGGGCAGATCTCCCCAGCAGGGTCCAGTTTGGGCCTCAGTCTCTGGGGCAGGGGCAAGGGCATGGCAGTGAGGAGCCAGGAACACTTCCTGCTCCCAGGCAGTGCTTGCCTCCACCCAGCTGAGCTGAGCAGAACTTCCCTAGGAAGCGCCAGCAGGGACGCGGCTGCTCGTGGGAGCTGCTGAATGAGAGCGGGTGGCCTGCCTTGGCAGAGGGACGGGCCAGTGCTCCGGCATCCCCACATGTCTACACAGTGGCCTCAGAGGAGGATCCCATGTGCTAGGTGCTGCCTGACGGGAGCTGGTCCTCAAGGCCCCGCTATCTAGGACCAAAGGTGATGGGTTCAATGGGGCAGGGGAAGGCCAGCGACTTATCCCAGGCAGTGCCTGAGCGCAGCCTCCCAGGGAGCTGCAGAACTGGTGCCACAGCCTGGCAGGCAGGAAGTGCCTCCTGATTCCAGTCCAGTTACTCCTTGGTCTGCCCCAAGGTGCCTTGCCAAGGGAGGGGGACATCCCCTCCCCTCCCTGGCTGTTCCCAATTCAGCCCTTCAGCTCAGCCATTTCCAGCTCCCCTGCCTTGGCTGGGTGGGGGTGGGTTGTTCTCTTGCTCCACATTTCTGCGGCCTGCTGGTGTGTTGGCCTCTGGCTGCTGCTTGCATCCATCCAGCCTTCCCCTCCTTGGTGAATTCCTTGGGAGCGGAGGCTGCTCCCCGCCCTGCGCAGCTTGCGGCCTGCCAGCAGGGAAGAGGGGGGCTGCATCCCCTGCCATTGACTCATGCAGGGTGTAGTTGCCCCAGGCACCTCTGAGGGAGGCTTTGCGGTTGGCAGTTGCATGTGCTGATGGCTGCTGGAGGAGGCGGGGACTTAACCCTTCGTGGGCTTGGAGGAGCTGCCCATCCTGTGCTAGGGCAGGGGGGTCTCAGCCCAGAGTGGTGCCTTCTCCTCTCAATACCCAGCAGGTTTGGCCTTGTGCACGTTAAGGTAGTTCCTCCTCCCCAAGGGGCCTGTCCCTGTGGCAGGGAAATGCCTTTTGCTAGTGCCCCAGGCCTGGCCCCAGGTGGTATCTTGCTCACTCCTGCCCCCTCCCTAGGGGAAGGCCGGGGGCACAGTGGGGGGTGGGTCCTGTTGCCTTTCACCAAGAAGGTTGCAGAGGAGCATGGCCTTGAGATCACTTTCCAGCATAGGACCCAGGAGTCTCCCAGGCACCTTGTGTCGCTACGGGAGCATGCAGGGGCCTTGGACGCCAGGAGCCTCCTGAACTCAAGTGCTTTCCTCCCCTGTGCACCTCTGCCTGCGCGGAGACGGGCAGGTGCCGTTGGCCCTCCCATGCCTAGCGGAGTCCCTGGCATCAGATCTGTTTCCCCTAGTGCCTGTGTCTAAATGGGCCTTGTCAGAGCACAGGTGGGTGGCGGTGAGTGCTGGGGGGGGGCGGTTCC